TCGTCACCCAAGCAATTAAACTAGTTCCAAGCATGCAGCATCAAGCAAGCATCAAAATGAAGCTTCACCCTGGATGCAACCATGATTCCTCCAACTGTGTTCTCAGTATTTAAGCAAAATTCGTCAAGCATCCAAGCCATCCTCGTGCTGCTAGCCCCAGGGGTCCACAGGATCTTAATCCAGTGTTGCTCCCCAACCCTCTGGAGCACTTCTTTCTCGCTCGACGATTTCCACTTCCTTGGCCGTCTCTGTTCGCCTTCGCGGGCAGCGATTACAGCGCAACTACTGTGGCGTCGAAGGCTGCCTTCGGTGGTAGTAGTAGCGGCTTACTTCTCCGCCCATGCTGGATCCCTTGCTCGACGGGGCACTTTTGCCACGAGATATTTACCAACATCCAAGATGGCGGCATAATCTTCCCGGCTTTTCGTCGTAAGTCGGCGAGTCATCCACGCAAGCCAGTCCCTTTTTCGCCCGTAAACACTTTCATCGTTCTCGTTTTAACCGACTCCGCCCTTCCTCTTCGTCTTTCGACGTCTTTCGCCGCGGACTCGACTTCTGAGCAGCCCTCGAGTCGCCTGCGTTGGCTACGCAGCCGAAAACGGCACAAACGGCAACTTCTTTTGCCTGTGGGATCGATCAACGAGCTTGCGGCTTCCTCGAGACGTCCGCAGCCAGGCGTGTAACGCGAAGAAATTTTTACGAAACTTGCTGACGAACGTCGTTACGCCTCGTTTCACCGCGTAGTCCGAGGATCCTTCAGTATTTGGAATACGAGACGCGTATTTACGTGGGATGCTTGGTTTTTTTGCTTTAGAAGAACGCGCCGATCGAATAACTGGGATAGTTGAACGGACACGTAGGATTTTTAGGTGTAACGGGGCTGTTTTCTTGCATTTGAGGATCGCATTTTCAATTTAGAGGAATTAATAGGTGGATTACTTGAGGGCTTTTGTAGAGTTTGGTGGTCCTTTGGTGGTCAAAGATTTCTTATGAAAGATAAGTAGTCAAGAAGTGGTCGTCAGGAATTATGATGGAAGTCTTGGCAGAGTACAAAGAAGATCCATGTTTGTGAACTCTCTGAACATCACACAACAGAATTCTTGATTGTCTCCACTATTTATTTATAGTACCACAGTCTGTTTAACTCGGAACAGTCTGAACTCTTCCCTTCGCGCAAGATCAGTCCAGGAAGGGGAAGTGGCTCGTGCATGGTCAGACATTGTAGCCAGCCATCCGAAAGCCTGCATCTACAGCAGATACCAAATAGTATTTGGCCATAGTCATTACAAAAACGTCGATCTAAAGAATCTATCACTATCCCAGCAACATAAACTGTATCTGTTGCGAATGATATTCGTTCAGCTAATCGAAGAAAGCCTCCTTTGCCACAGATACTTCCTTGACTCTTCAAAAAGTATTGAAATTATGAAGAACGTCGCAAGGTCCATAGTCTGTCCTTTTCGCCTTCGTCTTCCTGTCTTTTGCCGATTCAGCGATTACCGCTTTAATCCGAGGATCTGGCCAGGTTAGGTTAGGTCGTCGAAGGGAGAAATAGACGTCGGTATACCCTGCTATAGAACCCTTAGGCGTTCGCCATTCACTTCGCGACGGATTGCGGATTCCACGAGTTCCACTATTCGATTCGATTGCTTCTTATCCTGGACTCTCACGACACGTATTTACCTCTACTGATTTCTTCCCTCTCGATCTCCTTTCGGATAAATCTCGAGAATGTTCCACGGAAGGTCTTGTACTTATTACGCCCTTCCTTTTGTGATTCTCTCGCTACACGATGGCAGAATTGATTGGAGGCTCGACGACTCCGATGACTTTGTTACTAAGTAAGTGTCTCGATACTCTGGGAATAACGGAATTATCTGGGGAAATGTATCCCTTCTTATTATTTATCCGGGAGAATGGTGACATTTTGTGATTCCAAATGACTTCACGAAAGTAATTGTTTTGATCAGCTTGCAAGTATTAGGGGATCAGAAAGTAATGTCGTTCCTGCAAATGTCAATACTTGTTTATCATTTATCAGGTCATTGTGTACCAATTGATTTTTATCGATCTGAGTTTGAAAATTTGCACACTAGATAGCAAAAGGTTGCTGGTGAAGAGTGCGAATATGAATATAATTGATTAAAAATAAAAACTTGTTATAAATTTATTTGCTAGAATTTAATGTGAATTTATGTTGTTGGCAGCACTGCTTGCAACAGTCTTTTGAAGTTGGTAAATATTAATTATTTTGGTCAGCTTGCAAATACTAAATAAGGAGTAAGTCGATCTTCAAAGAAGTTTATATAATTGACAGCACTAATTGCAATAGCCTTTCTGGCTTGCTAAACATCTTCTTCTATCATGCCATTTAATAAAGTTTACGTTCTATAATTTAAGCAAATTAATTGCTTAAAGACTCCCCAAAAAATTGTTCCAACCCCCTGGACTCCTAAAATCCCAGCAATGATATACTCTCTCATCACAATCTACTATATACTTATAACAAAATTGAACCTGTAATAGATTAAATATCACTTCCGATCCCTTGTACCCCTCATATAAATACAAATTTTTCACCGATAAAAGTCACGATCCTCGCCTCGAGAAATCATACCTTTAACAATAAATTCCTCTCGCGATTTACACGATTCGTGCCACTGTGCATCCACGGAGGCGGCAGCAATAACAGGATGTTTCGATACGCGGTGAATATCGACGTAAATAAATATAACGCGGAGGGGAAGGAAGAAGAGCAAAGCGGTGCTGGTAGTCACGGAAGAGCATCGCTGGTACGCGGAGTAAGTGCAATAATACCAGATTATTTGCATCGCAAAGCCGTGCGTATGGGTAAACACAATATTCGCTCTCTGCTCGGCTCTGTGAACCGATAGTGCGCTCAGGTAGATACGCATCCGTCTATACCACTCCACCATTCTCTCTTCCTCACTCCATCCTCCGTCTCGTTCTCACCCACTCGTCGTTCTGTTTCGTTCACCCTCTATTATCGCTCCCTCTTTCTCCCCTTTATTGTATTCCGGCTATCATTATACCTTGCCCTCCCTCTCCAACCTTCCACCCTCTATCTCTCTCCGTCTTCGTGGATCCCTCCTCCCGCAGTGATCCTGTCTCCATTTCTATCCCTCTTTCTCTATGTACCGCCGCGGCGTAATACAGATTCTATTTGAGCTGCCTGAGGGAAGTTAACTCGCGATGCGTGCTGCTCGGCTCGCTCTGTTGGCGATACCACCGGATCCCCATCGTTCTCCATTTCGAAGCTGAAAATCCAAGGACCCCTGGGTCTCTGGACTTGTTTCCGCTGGGATGCCTCGATCATGGCAATCGTGACACCGGAGGTGGTCAGAGTCATCTGTCCCGAGTGGAAAATATTGTACAGAGAGTATCTTTCCGAGAAAATCTGTTCGATAAGTGTCATAGGGACCATTCCCAACACCCTTGGAATTGAGGGAGCTTGGATGTTTAAAAAATTGACCTTTTTCTTCTAGGATGGTAGTTATACCTCTTGATCTCAAGAAGGATTAGCTTAACAATTTCATAGAAACGGAGTGTCGCATATTTCGCTGCAATTTTTATTATTTTTAATTTCTGAATAGCTGTTTCACTGCATTCTGTATTTAATCTTACTTTTTATATTTGAAGAACAGGTGTTTTAAGCCTAGTCTAACCAGCGTGAGAGATTGAAACGATCATTTATCCGCTGGTTTATCGAGGACAGTTTATTTGTCTCCCTATTTCCGATAATCAATGTTCTATAATCGCCGATTCGTGCAAGACATCCACTCAGGAGGCAAATAACAAACGTAATATTGTTGTGTTGGATGCCTGATCAATGACGATTATTATGCATTCTACTGTGCTCTGCTCGAAAACGTTTCTTCCTCGAGAATCTAGACTTCAATTATACAGGAAAATATGAAAATGGAAGAATGAATATAATTTTAGAGACGTAACATTTTTGGAAGCCATGAATACGAAGAGACTTGTTCGAACATCATCCTCTTTCTCAGGCATATTAATCTTTGGCAGTTATTATTAAACCTCAAGTGGTTGACATTTTATAAGTTAATGGTTGTTAATAATACACCCCTCTGGCTTAGAATAACAGGGTAAAGATGACCTATGAAATCTATAACACATATTTCACCCTTTGCACTCGAAGTCATTTTATTGCAGAATGTGTTAAAAGGTGTCATGTTGTATTAAATAATGTAGCATAAAAATCATGTAAATCATTTTAATGCTACTTTCATTTATTTATCCGTGCTACTTGAATGGAAACCATCGAGGAAGTGTACGCCTTTGAAAATGTTGTGGTCGAGAGAATTTATTTTATCTCATCTCTAATAATTCTCTGGACTTCCAACGTCCCCTCAGAGGGGACATCCCAGTGCAAAGGGTTAAATAATATCCTAAATATTAACTCGCTCATATTCATACAAACAAAAATGAATTCCTCAGACGAAAGTTGACATTTCGTCTCCCTTCGAGCTCTCATCGTCTTCCAATTGACTTAAAATACTAAACGCAATCCTTATTAATTCTTTGATCGTTTCAGCTAAGTCTAACAGCAACGTCGAGAACCGCAAATCTACGTAGCGGTATTGCAGGAACGAATATCGATAGAGGCTCTGCTTCATACGTTCTATTAGTATGTAACGCCTGGTCCCTTTACCACGCCGCTCAAAGCAAAGCAGCCCCCGGAGTGTTACAATTTCGCCCTCTCTACCCCAGTCTGCCTCGAAAGTCCCTTTATCTACCCCGCTATTTTCCTAACTCCGACGTCCCCTCCGGGGGTTTCTCCTCGTTGGTGGTGACGACAACGATTCCTCTTCTCCCGAAAGAGGATGGAGGGAGCCTCGACTGGCGGTGGGAATGGCGGGGGTACCCCTGCCACCCCTACGGTAGGGGTTGAAATGCCCGCCCATCGGTCCGCCCACGTAGGGCCAAAGCAGTCGCTTCGAATCAATTCGACCCACGATTTCGCCTCGTAGACGGTCCTCCACGGTGCTGGCACACTCGCAATCGTGCTTCGTAACCTTCGACCGCGTATCGCGCACCTAACCTCGTCCGCAATTGCTCGCGCGACCATAAAACGACCGCCAGACGCAGTGACATCGAGGAATAAACAAGAGAACTCGCGATTCTTAACTATCCCACTGAAGTTCATCGTGTTGAGTGATTCAGTTAAACGTAACAGGAATTTTTAGTTCGCGTACACGTGAAATGTAAAGACGCGATTAGCTGGAACAGTTCGCGCGCGATCCACTTCGCGAGAATCTCTCGAATCGATAACCCGCGAGCATGAGCGAATATCGTGATGGTCCGCGAAGATCCCAACCGATGACTGCTAACGATAAAACTGCTCTCTGAGTGCGTTACTGCAACCGATCCCGACATCCTTGAGACGCCGTTGCTCCGCCGGCGCGTGGATGACGGCGAACGGGCCAAGAAAAAATCCTCGTTATCGTTGTGGAAACAAACTATTAGCGTAAGATAGCATTTCGTCGGAGCCGGCGCGCGACAGTTGCTCCGGTAAAATATGCCCGAGGAGGAAGGTCCACGGTGCATCGCGATCGTTCAGTGATTCCAAAGACGTTGTTAAGTGTCACCTGACCGAGTGCCAGTGATGGACATTGCCTGGACAACGACTACCAGGTAGATCTGCCAACAAGTCGAGCATCGAAGACGTGGAGGAACGTTGTATCAAAAGCGAAGCTCTATGAAGACATAGAGGGACGTTGCAACAAAGACAGGACTTCTTCGAGACGTAGAAGATAGAAGAAGATATCAAAGATAGAACCTGATCGAGACGTAGAGGGACGTACTATCACTTGGACGACGTGTATTTCAGTGCAACAACGTGTAGAAAGAAACAAGCATCAGTTCGAAGCTCAAAGTACCACCAGGTGAATTCAAGGCGCACATGTTCAAGCAGCCAGGGTCCCAATCGGCGCCGAGAGCAGCAGAGAACCGCCCGAGGAAATGACAAGTGCCCTGAACGAAGAGGTCCTCAACGACCCGAGGAATTAGGTTCCCCGCGAACGACGTGAATGTGCCCACCGAGCGATCACGATGGAACCGCGTGGGATGATGATGTCGAACCTGTCGTGCGACGGCTGCGCGGACAGCGATCGGGATTCCGACAGCAGCAGCATGATCGTGGACCCGGTGAGTCTCGACAAGAACGATTTGTCGCCGTCCCAGTCGTCGTCGAGCCCAATAATCCCCAGCTCCCCGGTGCCGGCCACGTCCTCGCGAAACCGCGGCGGTAGTCGTAGCAAGAAGAACTACACGATGATGTCCGCGAACGGTCAACAGAAGACGGCCACGGCGGGTCAGGCGACCTCCTACGGGAACGACAAGATGTCCTCATCCCTGATCAAGCCACCGTACTCCTACATAGCCCTGATCACGATGGCGATACTCCAATCGCCCCAGAAGAAACTCACCCTGAGCGGGATCTGCGAGTTCATCATGTCGCGGTTCCCCTATTACCACGACAAGTTCCCAGCTTGGCAAAACTCCATCAGACACAACCTTTCCTTGAACGACTGCTTCATCAAGATACCCCGCGAGCCTGGAAACCCAGGTAAAGGGAATTACTGGACCCTGGATCCCCTGGCGGAGGACATGTTCGACAACGGAAGCTTCCTGCGTCGCAGGAAGAGGTACAAGAGGCCTCCGCCTCATTACGTCCTTCGCGATCGAGCGATCATGGCCACTTTCGCCATCTGCGGCGATCGAGGACCCTGTCCAGGTGGCGGTGGCGGTCATCCAGGGGCCCTGAGCTACCCCAGCGCGGCGTACCTGTCCCCACCACCTGGTCTGCCGCTGCTGGACTTCTCACCTTCGACTCTGGAGGCTTTGAAGCTAGGAGGCTTCCTAGAACCGCCGCCACCGTTGTATAAACCAGTACCCATCAGCGCTCCGCCGATCAGGCAGCTGGACCCAACGCCCACGAGGTCAACGACGATACCAACGAGTCATCCCCCGGTGGACAAGAAGAGGAACTTCAGCATCGACGCTCTGATAGGGAAACAGGCCGCCAGCGATCAGAACTGCGGCGGGCTGCTGGACCTCAGCCCGACGGAGCATAGAGAGATCAGAAGTCAGGCGTCGGCGTTCTCGCCTCTGATCTAGAAAACACGGCGGATGGATCTCGAAGCTTCTGGTCTCCGAACTTTCGCAACAAAGGGTTTTGGTTCAGAGGGTTGTCGTTACTCGGGTGTCGAGTCTATGGTCGTGGCTAATTGTTTTTAGCTGAGATATTTGACGAGACTGGTCACCGGACGTGATCGACGAGGACGCGACGTCCCTGGCCGAGAAGAGCTTCCAAGAGTTTTGGGGGTGTATTTGATCTTTCCTCTTCTAGCAAAGAAAGACGATGAGCTTGGAAGATGTTTGAGAATCGCGAGACTCTAACGAGATTCAAAACAATTCAATCCTCCACGGCTGAGACTTAATGTGTCGTCAACAGTCTGATTGTCAATGTTACGAATATTCAAAGCGAATCGCGAGTGGCGCGATGGAAAGTAAAACGATCTCAGAGGACCTGCTCACGATACCAAAGTATAGTCGATGAACTTGTTACGATTAATTACGACTTGTGTAAAAAGACGCGGATAGGAGAAACGAATAATTGTAAAAAAAAAGAAGTGTAGTGCAATAGTGTAGTGATTTGTTTAATATACCGAAAGCGTCCCTCCGTTCACTGACGATCGAACGATTCTTAGTGACTGTACGACCCTCGAGTGGTGATGGGACCGAGCCAATGACACGCGTATCAATTGCCAAGCGTTTTGTTGAGATATCGAAGTTGTCGTTGGTATTAATAAGACGTGCTTGACATTTCTTGTAGTATCGATACGATTCAAGCATCATCGAGGCCTCGACGAGAGACGTAGGTAGTCTGACAGCGGAGTTGTCGATCATTCGATTAAATATGAATACATTCTTATCTGGATTATTTTTTCCCGGGTGTGAACAATTACAGGTGATCATTCAGGAATTTATTGAGTAAATCTCTCTAGATATATATTTATTTCTATATGTCTAGAAGAATTATTTTCATCTTGAAAATAAATTGGTCAAAAATAAATACAAAAACATTTAGGACACATTGATGTAGATAATGATTAAAATAACTTAAAAGAAGTCTTTACGTGAATTAATTTCGATAACTTCAAATTTCATTTAAATAATTTTTAATAAAATTTGAAGCATTGTACCGTCACGAAAACGTACAATTATGTTAAATAATAATGCTTGCAGCGGCTGTTTTTCGTCTAACAATCATCAACTGTAATTTCATTTCCAATTTATAGTAATTTAAATCTCCAGTAACTTTATTTATCTCCAACCTGATGCCACTGATAGGTATCGATACGACACGCGTCTCAAGTCTCTAAAAGCCGTATGAGGATGTTCCTCGGATGCGAGGGTATCAATGGCAAACGTAAATGTACGTATCAAACCAGTCCCATCACCGCACTTGATTCATTTCGATCGAAATACGATGTTCCATTTCTCCCAGTCTTTCGTTCCTCGCGTTCTACTCGCTTGGTCCAAGAATCAGCAGCCCCCCAGCACGTTGGCTCGTTCGTAAACGATCGATTAATATCGGCATTGTAAATACACACCCCCTCACGGACAAATCTTTGCTCAGCTTTCTATTGTTTGCGAGTGAGTGAGTGAGAGGCGGAGAGACTGGTATCGAGTGACGGAAAGAGACGGGAGGTCAGTTCACTCGAACGGATTTAATGTAAAGCTCGATTCGCCGTGTTCTTTGGGCAAGTAGACGTTTAGTGTACATAGCGATGCGAAATATAGGAAGCATTTTGTGTAACGAATATTTGTTACCATGGTGAACGAGAAATTTCAAAATGTTCTGGGTAAAGGTAAACGAGGTAAATGGACCGATCATCGACATGGCTATTTTGTATCAATTTGCACGATAATAAAACACTTTAGATACCATTGTTGGTTATATTATAGCGTGAGAAGATGTTATTGGGTAATAATAGGACCCTTTGAAACCATTTAACGAGAATGTCAATGTTAATAAATTTAATGTATGGTTTATTGAAATTAAAAAGCATAATGCTCTCGTGAAATTTTTACCAAATATGTTATTCGAATAATAACGAATTGTGCTGTCGATGGCTGGGCTGTCGTGGAAATTAGGTTTGCATTTACCTCGCCTATCGTTGTTTCTCGAGCATCCGTCTTATCTTCCGTTTTTTAATCACGATGTTTGTTATGCAACGAAACGCAGACTTCTTACGGGCTGGGAGATAGATTAATCCCGGACTCGCCTACTTTATTGGCAATGAAAATGTTGACGTTCTACGCGAGAGGCAACCTCGCGAGCGGTTTTCGATTTAATTAATCGGAAGTGCGATCCATCGAGTGATAGAGTTAATATCGCTCGAGAACTCGAGCATGCTAAGTTAAACCCCGGGTGGAGATACTGTTAAGATTAAATTTACGGTATCAGATAAGTGGTTCATTTTCCTAAATTTTCCAGAAACAAGATTCATCTAAACAAAATAATCTAACAACTCCAAAATGTATTATTCGGCGATCAAATTTTGTATGGAATTAGTATTTCTGTGGACTGATTTATTCCAGAATAATTGGGTAGGTAAATAATACATTTTCGAATGAGATGTATTATTTTTTAACGATCCTGTGTACAAAGTAGAAATATTATTAATCATGTCGAGATCCTCTGATCGATCTCAATCAATTCATTGTTCTCTTTATGATCATTTCTTAAAAGCAATGTGAATCTACATATTTTATTAATTTGACAGTGTTTTCGTGCAATATTCCGAAATAGTTAGCAGCCAACCTAACAGACAGGAACAATTCATATAATTCAACAAGTGCTCGAATCCTTTCAGTTCTTTTTTTTCCAATCGATTTATTCAGATTTTTTTTACCCCAATTCTCTACGATCCCAAAAGAGCAAAATATTAAAATCAAAACAACATTTTTTTTTTAATGGAACGTATAAAAATGATTAATACTGTGCCTCAGATCACTGGAATTTATTCGTATGACGGATATTGCATACCAGAAAAGGCATCTCACTCGTACCGAAAAAAATTACAAAAATAAACCTGTAACAGCCAGAGCACGATTTTCCAAACGTTTATAGCATATTCCAATCACTGCAATTAATTCTTTCGTTCACATGGACGATATTAAATTTTATAGAGAATATTCTTTAATTAATCGACAACTGTTAAAGTAACCTTCGTGGTTTAAAAAAATATACAAAAAGTGCAATAAGAATCCAATGAGAATGCAATTCTCATTGGAAATATTTTTTTTCTCCCTACCAGTGCGATATTAATTTTAATCTAATTAATTAACGATTATCCGGCTGATTTCTTTGATCGTAAATTGTAAACAGAGGCTCGGGAAATTTTTCATCCGTAAGGCACAGGAATACAATTTTCCAATCACTGGGAGCATTTTCGTTCGCTGGCACGTAGAACGGGATCTTTTTTGTGAAAATTCTTTTCTGATCGATCGGCGAATATTAACGCGGTCCTAAATTAAGGACCTGCACGGGTGCCAAAAATTCGATGGATCCAATAAAATCGCACGAAGAAAGGTGGGGAAAAATGACGAAAAAGCGACCACCGGACAGACTTTCGCGACGATTTTAAACGTTTCGAAACGCGCACACAGAGATTCACGAGAAAAAGAGAATGGAATAATTTGCAATTAATCCCCTCGATGATACGCATCCATGACGAGTACGTGCGTATTAGCCTACACGCGCGCACACACACACACACACGCACACACAGATAGACACATGCAAGTCAGCTAGTGAATTTCCCTCGACATAGGATGACAATTGCGAGATAAGGTGCGCGATGCACGACAGTGGAACGAATCAGTCCGATCCGCGTTTCCCCTTGCGTCAGAGACGGAAGAGGTCTTCTTCTTTTTCCCCTCGGCCCTTCGAGGACCGAAATTCTTCTATACAATGGTTTTTATATACTTATGAGGTACGTTGATATAACAAAAAAATATGAAAATTGTACTCAGAATCATAAAAATTAATGTTTAATTTTGCGAATGTATTTCACTATGTCTTTCACAGTATAATGATTATAACATGCAGTCTGAGCCTCACAAATTTTAGAATAAAATGTTACAAATATATTTAGTCGAGATCAAGTTATTTTTTTTTTATTATTGTGATAATTGTAGAAACAAGAAGTTTCATGGGGCAGTTTATTTGATCTATTTTGCCCTAATTTAGAACGGATTGAAAGATAAACAATTGAACGAAAAATGCTTGTGAAATTGTTGAAAGAAGAATGGTACTTTTCGTTTTTAGAATGTATCCAGTTATTCAAAATATGATTGTGCTTCCACTGGCGCTTCCAATGTTGAATATTTTTAAAAACGAATACCGTTTTACTTTTTTGTTTCGAGGCAGTTCGAGGCGCGCGAAGAACGCCCTGTTATCATCAACATTTATGCAAAATCGGATTACAGAGCTCGCGTGACTTAGACGCGAATGACGTTTGACACGATAACGAAAATTATTGTTCTAATAATAGAGCCGCACCTCGTATCGAGATAAATCTGGATTTCGTGTATCGGTTTGCAACAAAGTTGGTGATTGCTCTGCGATTACATTTCCGATGTCGGATTAAATACAGTAAACGTGAACTGTACTTTTAATCTGCGAGTATGAATCGATAATTTCTGTTATCTTTCACGAGTAATCGTGATTATTCGTTGGTCACTAATCACGGTTAGTGAGACTTACGAATCATCGTTTATTATTCATGGGAAATTAATCGAGGTTTAATCACTATTTCACTGCTCATCGATCGTTCGTGTATCTTCGTCTGATTTTGGATAAGAAATAATTTAGGCTGAATCATCGTCAGGACCGTTTCAAACAATTTCTGGATACTTTGTGATGAAAGTTTCTTTTAAATCGAAGAAATATCAGAGAAGATCGCGTAAGATCAGGATTCAAGTACAAAGAATAATTTATTTTGATAGACTTTCGTACTCGAGAGAATTACATCTGATCTGGAACGAGTAGAGCGCGACCTTTAGTTGAATGTATCATAACAAACACGAATGTCACGCGATTTTTAAGAAGTATTATTTCGAATGTATATTTCCCAAATGTCATCGAGTTTCAGCTGTCGTGTTATAAGGTATTGTGAGGAAATTTAAGCGATACGTCTGTTTGTTCCTTTACTAAATAAGTACCGACGCCGTAATGTATGTTTAGTTATAGGTTTATCGTTAAACTTGTCTCTCGTAGATTTAGTAAGTATTATACGTGTCAAGATGATAGATTTATAATAACGTGTAATAATGTCAACAATAAAGTACTGTTAAGTATACGGATCGCGATTATTTTTGTTCCTCGCCACTGATTTATGAAATCGAACCAGACACTATCTTCTTCCTATCCGACCAATAAGTGCGCAATTTGGACGACGCTGCTTTGAGCACCTAAAATAAAGTTTGAAGAAAGCTATTTTCTAGCAAAAATTATAAACATAATATTGCACACAAAATGAATAGTGGGATCGTAGTATAAACATTCTTATCTACAATCGTTGAAGAACTTATCAGAGATAAAGATGAAAAAACTGATCTTTCAGGATTTATTAAATTGCCATTCAGCATACAATGCAGTCTAGGTTGAGTTGTCGATTAAAGACAGCTATTGTATCAACATTGTTCATACAAAATAAATTTTCTGTTTTCATAGAGGCTCTGTAGTGATAGCGATAGAAGCACTTGAACACCAAGCTATGTCCTCAAAAATTATCACCAGGCTTTCCAAACACGTTCAAAACAAGGTGAAAATTGACTTTACACAATACAAGTGAAGCATTTCCATTGTTAATCATTTATTAAGAGGCTTTATGCCTCAGTGACTCTCTCAAAACGTACAAAACAACTCAAACCTTCCTCTTCTACAATGCCTCTAGTACCTAACGCTTCCAAAACGTTCCAAATAGGTACTACAATAGCGTAATTGCTTAAACACCAACCTTTGACGTCCAAAATGATCACCAGACTTTCCAAACATGCATTTCCATTGTTAATAATTTATTAAGAGGCTCTATGCCTCAGTGACCCTAAAACGTGCAAAATAACGCAAACCTTCCTCTTCTGCAGTGCCTCTATTACCTAATGCTTTCAAAACGTTCCAAATACCTACTGACATCCAAGATAGCGACGTAATTGCTTAAACACTAACCTTTTACGTCCAAAATGATCACCAGATTTTCCAAACATGCCCAAAAACAAGGTAAAAATTATCCACCACATATGGGCCAACCGCTTTCCTTGTTAATAATTTATTACAGGCTCTACGCATCAGTGACCCCATGTAACAACGCACAGTTCGATTGCGCGGCGATTTCGCTGTACAGAAAGTCCCCTCGACTCTCTGGACAGAGGAAAGCCGGCGTCGAGACGCTGCGGAGTCGAGTAGCCAGCACGGGCGTCGGGTTGCCATCGAAAGTGGCTGACGAGATAGAAAGAAAGGCCGTGTTCATCGTTGTCACGATCGTGGTACTTGGTCCGTGTACACCCCTTTAATCGTTCGTCAAGTGTGTGTGCATTCGGAATGTAATATATCCAGGAGGCCACGTGCCGCGTCACGTGCCGCCAAGTGTTTGTTTCGGTTTGTATTGTCACCACGGATACGTGGCACAGAGGTGTGCCATGTCCTCGGGGGGAGAAGGGAGACGGATTCACGTCCCTTTCATAATTCCACGCTCGTTCGAGTAAATAACTCGCCGGCAGTTGACAATTAGGACGATGGGAAAGAGATTCATTACTCGGAACGGACTAATAGCGAATCCATCGAGGGACCATCGTGGTGGGAGCTCGATGATCCTACAAGGAAGTCCTGCAGGGGATCGCAAGTTTGTAGCGGACTGTGTTCAGAGTGATGTTCTCCTTGAGGTAGCGTAGGATCTTTTAGAGAAGAGTTTCACAGAGAATTTAGTCAGGAAAAGTCTCTGTTGATGGAGATTTGGAGGAAGTTACAAGCAGATACTGTCCAAAGTGATCAAAATACCATTTTCATTTTAAACCTGTGCTGCTGGAATAACTTACTACTCCTATAATACAGAAGTGGCCACTAGCATGACTCTGACGATAGGGAAGGATTTCATAGCGAGTTGATTCAGGGAAGATCTCTGTTGGTGTCCAAAGTGATATCATGTTCGTTTTAAACCAGCACATGCTTTTATAGGAAAGGGTCTTATAGTGAATAGATTCAGGAAAAGTCCCTTTTGATGGGAGTCGTAGAAGAAAATTTCAATTAGATACTGTCCGAAGTACGCGAGATACTATGTTCACTTTAAGCCTGTGCTGTTTGAGCAACCTACTACTCTTAAAATACAAAAATGGCGACTAGTAAAGGCTCTGAGGATAGAGAGGAGACTAACAGCGAATATATCGAGGGAACGTCTCTTTATTGTTTTGAAAGAAATAACGATGAACGAAAAGTGTTTACCAAAGATTATTACTCGCGAGGTCAACCTTCAATTTTCTAAAAGAGGCGAGAATTATCAGTAGATCTGATCGATAGATCGTCAACAATTACGTTAGAAAGAAGCTATGAACAAACACCAGCGTCAATCCTCTTTGAAATACCACCTCGCCTCGACCCTGAGTTTCCGTCGTTATCGCGTTGTTTTATCGCGATTTTGCATCTGCTTGTGTGCAATTAGCTCGAGATAATGCAACAATAGTTAACTTTGGAAGCGACACTGTTGTTGACGCGTAAATGGGATCATAAATATTCTCGTGACTGAAAATCCAGAAATCACTGGTTTTCGGTTGGTTATCAAAGTTGATATTACATACTGATATGATGAATAAAGGATAACAAACGTATAGCTAGGAGGAAAAGACCAGTTCTAGAAGGAATCGCATGTTTCGCTGCGTCAGATTTGTTATTCAGCTTTCAGAGATTTATCGCTAAGCAGTTAGGTAATACTGTCCACATTCCTCTCAATTTGAGACTTGATCTTCTTCTCTTGTCGTGCAATATTCTTCTTTTCATTCAAACGCACTTTTGAACACTATATTCACTAAAAACTTGGAACTCGATTGAACGGCACATATTCTCTGGTCGAAAGACGGTCAGCCCTAGGTACTCAATAAATATTGAATTCAACTGAATGGCACCTATGAGAACCCCTCTGTTCAAAAGACAGTGAACCCTATTTACTCAATAAATATTGAACTCAACTGAATGGTACCTATGAGTACCTCTCTGTTCAAAAGACAAAAAGAGTGAGCCCTACTTATTTAATAAATATTGAACTCAACTGAATGGCACCAATTTTTATGAGTACCCCTCTGTTCAAAAGACAGTGAGCCCTAGCTACCCAATAAATATTGAACTCAACGCCATCATTACCTGCCAGCTTCTCATCAGCTTACTCAGGCAGCAGAGAGTAGAGGCACGAGAAAACTTTCAAGAAAATGAAAATATTGCGCAGAGGGAGGCTAAAGCTTTAGAACAGAAAGGAATTAAAAACACGTGCGAAAGGACTGCGAGAGTGGTTGGCAAGGCACGAAAAGCTGCATCGCTGTTTTCGTCACGATCGAGGAATGT